AAAATAAAATAAAAAAAGTTTTAGAATACGGCAATTTTCCAATATCTTCTTTATCTATCCTTTAAAAAATAAAATGTAAAAAAGTGTAAATATAAGAAAATTTTCCAATACCGTCTGCTCTTTTCAAGAAAAAAAGAAAACTCGCGTAACCTGTGACAGCTTTTGTAGCTAGACTCTGTCACCTATCACAGTTGACTCAGTCACCTATCAGACTCTGTCACCTATCACTGTCGTAGGTGTGAAACTTGGAGAAGTGGTGATGTGGCGACAAGCCTTGTAGCTTGCGGGCTAGGGTTTGGGTTGAGTGGTCCAGGCAGGACTTATATACCAATTACAGGTATTATCTTAAGCTGCCTCTTTGAATAATTAGAGCATTGGGTGGGGAGTGGATGAGGTGGGGGAATGGATGAGTGGGGAGTGGATGAGGGGGGAGTGGATAAAAATGAATGCGGTAACAGATCGTAAGATTATGAATGTTGTCATCTAGACGTCACGTGGCACACCTCGTGACCTGGCCTCGTCAATACATTATAGAAGGCTTAAAGTCAACCCCCCCCCCCCCACGAGGCGAATCGGTACAGCCTCGAAATGGGCTGTCAGAAGTGAGGGGTTTTCCCATTATTTGAAGTGCGGACCTGATTTTTGCTGACTAAAGCGAAGTTTAGAAATTGAATTTTGTGTTGGAATTTTGAATTAATAGAGGAGTTGATATTTCTTAGGGGAATAGGGATTTTTTGGGATAATTTGGATTTTGTTGTGGAATTTGGATATTAAAATTTGATTAATAAGAGAATCGAACTAATTTTGGAAAATTTAAATCTATTTTTATATTCTTGTACAATGAGTATTTGAAAAGAATTATAATAGTGCCAAAATAAATAATAAAAAAATATACCAAAATCGAGATTGTATACAAATCTCGACCTCTCATACCTTCATGAATCGGTTGAATTGTGATATCTGTGTGTTAGCACAATTATTTGAGTACCAGTTCAGTTAGGTGCACCGAATTTCATATACAAATATTAGATAATGCGATTGGTAAGTTACTTGACTCAGTTTAGGGTTTTGCAAAAACCTTCAGAATTTGATGATTTTATAATACCTTATCATGAAGAACTCTAAGAACTTTTCACCTGAAAGGTTTTCACGTAGAAAAGGAAAAAAAAAAGAAAAAAAAAAAAAAAAAAAAAAAAAAAACAACATAAAAAAACCCAACGGTTTTGTTACCCGTTTAACAAGATTTTCTATATCCAGATTCAACTGAAGGAGCCATCACATAAAAATATACAAGAAAGTTTAGGGTTCTAAAAATGTTCTCCCATCTAAAATGAAATACCAAAATCAATTTTTCTACTATGATGTAGTTTTTGTTTTGTTGTTATAGTTAATATTCGTCGTGAATTATTATGTTATCTTTTCTAATTTCATGTAGTTTTTGTTTTGTTTTTCACAGTTGAAATTTGTCGTTCATTGTTACGTCATCTTTTCTAATTTTATGTAGATTCTAGTTTTTGTTTTGTTTTTCACAGTTCAAATTTGGCGTACATTGTTACGTTATCTTTTTTTACTTGCAAGAAATACGAGCTCTTCTGTTTACAATATTTGACTTAAAGCATTGACTGATAATATATTATTCGTTTTTCGCTACCTTTTTGTTTTTCATCGAATGTTTCATATTTTTCTACATCGTCATGCTATAATTAATAGTTTATGAAAATGTTTTCTTTTTTTTGGGTTTTGTAATTTTGATGTATAATTATAACGGATTATTATTTTAATCATTCTAATTAAGAAATTAATTAAAAGAACAAGGTTGTACTTTTTTCCCTGATCGGTTTTTTAATGTGCTAATTATAAACTTACGCTCTAAAGGTAGACATGTTTTTCACGGGGTGAAAGTAAAGAGCTATTTATAATTATGATTTGAACTGTCAGGATTTAAAGTGTAGCGATTGGCTGAAGGATTGATGTCATCAGGACAGTGACCGGCCGGGCTAGTAGCTTCAGAAAAGGTCGTTAACTTTAGACCTAGGTCAAAGGTTCTTGGTCAGATTTTTTTACAGACCTATAAGAGCTAAATCAGTAACCTAACCATTCAGTAATTACTTATAGCAGTAACCTAACCGCCCAGTAATTTCTTATAGCAGTAACCTAACCGCCTAGTAATTACTTATAGCAGTAACCTAACCATTCAGTAATTACTTATAGCAGTAACCTAACCATTCAGTAATTACTTATAGCAGTAACCTAACCGCCCAGTAATTTCTTATAGCAGTAACCTAACCGCCTAGTAATTACTTATAGCAGTAACCTAACTATTCAGTAATTACTTATAGCAGTAACCTAACCGCCTAGTAATTACTTATAGCAGTAACCTAACCGCCCAGTAATTACTTATAGCAGTAACCTAACCGCCCAGTAAAAACTTACAGCAGTAACCTAACCGCCCATAATTACTTATAGCAGTAACCCAACCGCCCTGTAATTACTTATAGCAGTAGCCTAACCGCCCAGTAATTACTTATAGAAGTAACCTAACCGCCCTATAAGACCTGACGCAGTAGCTTAGCTTACCAGTCAATCATTTAGTTCTTAATTAATCAATGGCCCACTAAAACCTTTACCCATTTGCCCAGAATAGCCTTTATATAGCTTAACACCAATTAAGACCTATTATATTAAGAACCCATTCATTGTAACCCTAAGCTATAAGTTAAAGGTCCACTGTGCCCTTAATCTGTAGCTTAAAACCCCATTAAGACCTACATCAACAGCTCAGCAAAACCTCTGTAACTGAAACAACCTCGGTATTTTAAAATGTACTCTACCAGATTATGTGAAACAAATCAACATCTTCCCATGTCATAAATGTCAAGGCCGCTGGTGGCTAAGATTAAAACCCAACTAACCGCAAGGGATTAAAATAACGGATTTGCTCTACTGACGTAGGTAGGGGGTGGGGGTGGGTGTTCCAAGTTAATGTCAGGGAGGAGGGTGTGCGTGCACGTCAAATAATATGTCTAATCCGTTATCTACGTAGGTGATTGGGATAAAGACATAAGGAAGAAATTTTATGAAGCATTGACGTAAGCTATCTATGACAGATAATAACAAAATTTGTTTATTAAAATGACAGTTTGTTAATAAGGAAATAGGGAACGAGAATATAGATTCTAGTTCAGATAATAGTTTTTTTTTAATTGATGTAGCATTTCAGGCTACTTAGTTTTCACGCTAATTTTATAACGTGCTCATTTTTAGTCCGTACTAATTTGTTTTCAGGTTGTTTTGTTATCACGCTAATTTGTCTTACACATTTTTTGACACGCTAATTTGCCTTACATATTATTTTGTTTCACGCTAATTTGTCTTACATATTATTTTGTTTCACGCTAATTTGTCTTACATATTATTTTGTTTTCACGCTAATTTGTCTTACATATTATTTTGTTTTCACGCTAATTTGTCTTACGTATTATTTTGTTTTCACGCTAATTTGTCTTACGTATTATTTTGTTTTCACGCTAACGCCGTGTTTACTCAGGTACTTATTAGAGCTGACTAGACTCAGGGATCACTTACCAACTGATGAACCGGATTCGAACTCGAGACTTCCGGGTTAGCATTCGTTTGTCTATCGCACGTCAACACCATCCCATTTTGGAAAAATAAAAAAAAAATACAAGCAATGAAAATATATTGTAACAGGTGGGACGGGCAGTTGGTTTATTTTTGACCGAATTATGCCTAAGGCGAAGACGTCGTTAAATCAATACTTTGTACTGTCAGCAATCCTATACACATTAGGGTAAAAACATTTATGATGAAAGTACTGACGTAAAGCGAGTAGAGTTGCCACTCCCCAAGTAAATCGTGAATTTTTAAGTACAATTCTGTGAGGTTAGGTCAGGTTAGGTGAAAACAGTTTTGTTATTTTTATACCAATCGATGATTTTGGTAAGACTTAGCGCACTCACAGGTCTTGTTTTTATATGCATTAAGAATAACGTGTCTCATTTTTTTAACACAGTAGACCCTCAAAGCTTGTTGAGTTGCCCTAATCGTTATTGTAGACATGGATAACTAACTTGTTGTTGTGCAAAATTATTTTAAAATAAACCGGGAGTGATCTCCCCTAAACTTTCTCGAATATTCTAATATAACACTACGGGGGATGGCAACTTGGGATAAAGACTTCTAGATATGATTTTTAATCCATTTTAAATACTCAAACTTTTTAAAATAGAATATAATCTCGTAGAAAAAAAGAATTGCACACCAAGTGAACGCTAAATAAAGATGTGCATAATAGTGCGCAATATTATTAGTACTTTATAAATTTACATGCGTTTTTTGAGAAATCGGAAATAGCGTAAATTAGTACTTCCGGTCAACGGAAATTACTCACGATTTGATAGAAGGTAGAGAATTAGATCTTTTACTTACATATCAAATTTCATTTATCTATCTGAAATAGTTCTCAAGTTATAGGCTTTTGAAAAATTCAAAGTAGAAAAAGTACCACTTTCGGTTATCGGAAATCGCTCAAAAGTTGATACGGATCTACGATTTTGATAAAATACTTATATATGAAATTTCATCAACCTAGCTGTAACGGTACTCAAGTTATCGTGTTTACACACCGACACGCACACACACACACACACACAGACACACAGACATACGGACAAGATTGCAAAATTATGTTTTTCCGTATCAGTGAGGTGTAAAACGTCGAGATTTGTAAAAGTCTCGATTTTTTTTTGCACGATTACAAAACTTTCTCTATACTTCGTATATACGAGAAAGTAAAAACTTAAAGATGAAAAAAAAATCTTTTTTATAGTTTAAGAATTTATGTTATAAAAGCTTGTAATATTAGTTAAGAATTCAGAGAGTATTAATTTTTGGTGTTTAAAGCTACATTTCTATTTACTTGTATGAAACCGACAATTTAAACTGTTTTATTCAATAAGACAAACTTAATTTTCACTAAAATGTTTCTGGTAAATATTTTAAATGAATTGATACCTTTAAATTAAGCCATGTCTGTTTACATCTTTCGCGGAAAGACAAGGAAAAAATAAATGGCTTATGATTTTTTTTTCAAATTTTTTGTAATTATCGATAATAAAAATACAACAAATATGTCAAAGCTTTAGAAAACTCAGTAAAAATTACATCTGTTAATGAAACGCAATTTTTGAATTATTTAGAGATTATTCTCTGTGAACCCCGCTATCAAAATATTCGGGGGAGTGGGGTAGACTTACTTCGGGGGGGGGGGGGGGGGGACAAAAGCCCCCCCCCCCCCCCCCCCCACCGAAGAGATGCCTGGAAGAAACTCTGGTTTAAAGCTAGCTATATAGCGCTGAAAAACCATTAACTAAATTTTAATTTTTATTGTCAACCAAAATACAATCTGATTTATCTGATTTGTTTCAAACACCGAGGTTTATAAATTAATTTAAAATTAATAGTTTTATTTTTTTATTATTTTTTTTAAAAGATTTAGTTTAGTGTTATGCGGACATTTTCCCCAAGTCAATCCTAAGGAAATGTCAAGTTTTATGCATTGAAGTCAGAGGTCACCGGACATGCGTAAAGAGATTTCAGTTTTATTTTAGGCTCATGTGAGGGTGTCGTGAAGGCGCCCCCACCCCCGCCCCCCAGAGCCTTGCAGACAGCTAGGTGTACAAATGGTTGTTATTGTGTCAAACATCCTTGGCAGTTAGGTGTACCAAATGTTGTTATTGTGTCAAACATCCCACCTGCCAGTTTGGTGTACCAAAGGTTGTTATTGTGTCAAACATCCCACCTGCCAGTTAGGTGTACCAAATGTTGTTATTGTGTCAAACATCCCACCTGACAGGTAGGTGTACCAAATGTTGTTATTGTGTCAAACATCCCACCTGACAGGTAGGTGTACCAAATGTTGTTATTGTGTCAAACATCCCTGACAGTTAGGTGTACCAAAATGTTGTTATTGTGTCAAACATCCAACCTGACATCCCACCTGACATCCCACCTGACATCCCACCTGACATCCCACCTGACATCCCACCTGACATCCCACCTGACATCCCACCTGACATCCCACCTGACATCCCACCTGACATCCCACCTGACATACCACCTGACATACCACCTGACATCCCACCTGACATCCCACCTGACATCCCACCTGACATCCCACCTGACATCCCACCTGACATCCCACCTGACATCCCACCTGACATCCCACCTGACATCCCACCTGACATCCCACCTGACATCCCACCTGACATCCCACCTGACATCCCACCTGACATCCCACCTGACATCCCACCTGACATCCCACCTGACATCCCACCTGACATCCCACCTGACATCCCACCTGACATCCCACCTGACATCCCACCTGACATCCCACCTGACATACCACCTGACATACCACCTGACATACCACCTGACATACCACCTGACATACCACCTGACATACCACCTGACATACCACCTGACATACCACCTGACATACCACCTGACATACCACCTGACATACCACCTGACATACCACCTGACATACCACCTGACATACCACCTGACATACCACCTGACATACCACCTGACATACCACCTGACATACCACATGACATACCACATGACATACCACATGACATACCACATGACATCCCACATGACATCCCACATGACATCCCACATGACATCCCACATGACATCCCACATGACATCCCACATGACATCCCACATGACATCCCACATGACATCCCACATGACATCCCACATGACATCCCACATGACATCCCACATGACATCCCACATGACATCCCACATGACATCCCACATGACAGCTAGGAGTGTCACTGACTGACATCCCACATGACAGCTAGGAGTGTCACTGACTGACATCACGTACACCGCTGACACCAACCCGCTCACCGGACATGAAAGGTCATTAGCGTGTTTCTTGTTGCGCGCGCTAGTGAATGGGGAAAATGGAGCGAACCCGGACAGCCATTCAGTTTTTGTCTTGTCAGTCATGTGACTTTCTGTGGCTGATCGGGACGGCACGGATAGGAGAAAGAGGGGGGGGGTATGCAAGGTTAAAATATATAACATCTTCATGCGTCACTAAGGTGCATTGTAAGTTTTTAGAACTGAATTTTCGGGTCCAAGGTCTTTGAAGAAGTAGTTTAAATTTATATAAGAAAACTACAAGGCAAGAATTGTAGCGAAATAATATAATACGGTTAACAAAGAAAATATGGTATCGTCAGATTTTTTTACATTACCGCCAAAATATTATTTTATTTTATTGCTTTAAGGTTTATATTAAAGATCTGATACTTAATGTTAATGTAAGTTTGTGCATTATTTTAAGATTTTTTACTTCATTGTTTTTTGTTAAAATATTCCAGGATTGAATAGAGGACCTCAGATGAAGCCTACTCTAATGAACTTATTTGTTTTATTAAAAAGTTCCCAGTAAGTACAGTTCATGGGGTTGGCGTGGTCGAGTCGGTAAAGCTCATGGTTGCTAAACCGAAAAGTCTCGAGTTCAAAACCTCGGGCAAATGAGACTCGTTAGCTGGGGAAAGCAACTCTTCTGGGAACTCCAAACTCATCATCTGCTTGGTAGGACAAAGGCTATGGAAGCAAATCCAAAAAGAAAAGCAGGCTGAAATCTGAGTCAGTGGCCTCAATGGGGTCATCCATAAAGGACGTCACACGTCGTCACAAAAAGCTAGACCCCCGCTAAAATGACGTCACACCCCAGCCTACACTCACCCCCTCAAAATTGCTGTTGGATTTTTCTTAAAACATTGCTTTTTTATAATGCAAAATTGTGACGTCGCACCATCTAACCGCCCCGTCCCCTCCCCTCATCACACACCGTCACAAAATTACGGACCCCTCCTCCCCCTACGAGTGTGACGTCATTTATGGACGACCCCAATGGCACATAACCAGTTGACACGTATACTTAATTGTGTTGGTGGAGATCCCCCCAACACTAAAATTAAGAACGAAGAAGTACAGTTCCCTTTTCGAACCTGATGGCCCATGAGGTAAGTGAAGTAGAGTTCATCTTTTTCTGTGACCTCGACATATTAAGGAAGAGGATGGGCAGCACAATGCTCAGACATCTCTACTGTCCCTAATGTGACTTATGTAGACCTATCAACCAGCTAGGTGGACCCAGGGACTTTGTACTTACTTCAACCCGGATTCGAACTCAAGACTTTTGGGTTCCTTGTTTTAATTTAAAAAAAACCTTGTATCACTAAATTTGGCGAGAGAGACCTGAAATACCAGGAAGTAACAGAGCCATATTGACCTCTTTCACCCCTTTCACACACCTAATATGAAATCTTGTAACTCTCTCAATTTCCCTTACTATCTGTAGTTGTATCGTTTCTCTCTCTCTCTTTCTCGATATATATATATATATATATATATATATATATATATATATATATATATATATATATATATATATATATATATATATATATATATATAGATATATATAGATATATATAGATATATATAGATATATATAGATATATATAGATATATATAGATATATATAGATATATACATATATATATATATGGAGAATGCAACAGATGTGATGACGTGGTGATAAACTTTTGATGTTTTTAGGTAGGCTACCTGGTACAACCAAACTGTTAGGATTTATTAGACGAAAAAAAAGGTGATTTTTTTTTGATCGACTTAAAACATGAGTGATTAATCTTTTTAAAATATTTGACACGTTTATGGCTTTAACTTTAATGCTGATCTGTGTTTTGACATTTGATTGACACAGGATTTATGTTCTCTGAAATTGCAAATTCTTAAAAGATAAAATAAAACCTTTTTGTAAGAAAAAAAATGGGAGTGTTAATGTTGGCACGGAGTCCAAATTTTCTAACTAGTCTTTGCCTTTACAACGCCGCGTGTTATAAACGACACAGACAGCGTAAGAATGTCCTACTACAACAGAAACAGCGTAAGAAATGTCCCAATGAAGCTGCTCTGGGCCTGTTCTAAAATTAACAACTAATTACATGTACATTAGCTTAATTTGATCACAAAAATTGAAGTGTTATCAGCAGGGATGGACAAGAGGCCCGAGAATTAAATAAAAACTGGCGCCCTTTCCACTTTAATTTTCATTGTAGATTTTTTTCAATATAAGTCATGAGTGTTCCTCTGAAATAGTTATGTACCACTTCCGAACACCGGAAATCGTTAAAAAGGTAATCTGTGTATAAAAAACTTGTATACCTATTTATATTTGAAATTTCGTCCACCTAACTTGATCGGTACTCAAGTAACAGGCTTTAGAAAAAATGGGAAGTAGAATAAGTACCATTTCCGGTTACGGTAAATTTATTTAAAGTTGATAGAAAACTAAACATTTGATATTATCATCAAGTTTTTACATACATACACACAACTGCAATACCTACATCCAGTGGCGTAGCGAGGGGGGGGGGGCGGGGGTGCGGACCGCACCGGGTGACACCATTTAGGGGAGGGTGACACCAAGGCAAAAAATAGCAAAATATATATAGAAAAAAATGATAATTCCACTTAAGTGATTAATTCGAGTGTTAAATAGTCTTTTAAGAAGTGCAAATCGGAAGTTTGAGCGGGGGGTTGCAAATTGAAAATTTGACCCCGGGAAGGGTCGCTACGCCTCTGGGGGAGGGTGACACCATTAAGTGCCGCACCGGGTGACACTCGACCTCGCTACGCCACTGCCTACATCCTTTATATTGGTTACGGCCTACGATAAAGTTGGGAGGTGTAAACCAGCAAAAACTGTCAAAAGCTCAATTTTTGTGTGTGCACGGATACAATACTTTCTTTATCGGCTGCTCATTCAAAATTACTATTTTAAAATTTTATTTTTAAAGCGTCAATACTTCAATACGATTTAGTTCTAGATCTAGATCTAGATCTAGATCTGTTTCACTTAGTAGGCCTATTTAGGCTACTATAAAGCGGCATGTCAATGAAACATGGGAAAACATGGATTCTAAGCAAATACTAAAATTTACCTGTTTAGAGATTGAAATTTGGGTTATAACCCATTGTATATCTGTATATCTGTCTGTATAATATTTTTAAAGTCGTATTAAAAGTTACCCTAAATTAATTGTCCTGTTACATATTAAAGATTTGTTTTGTACTAACAGCACAAATTGTTAATCGGAATTAAACTGGAAACGAAATTGTTTACAGTAGCAACACAAAACTACGAATAGAAGTAGAATCTAGCTTAGATCTATTCTTGTTCGCAGCAATTATTATATTTTAAAGGATTAGGCCTAGACTTGATATAGACTTAATGTCTTCTTTACACAACATTCATTCATGTTCTCAGGTAGGTCTAAAACAAAAGTTACTCAAAAGTAGCTTCTACTACTAGATCTAGTCATTGTAGACTTGTAGAAATTCTAGATCTAGATCTACGACGTAACTGTACGCTGTACGTACTGAGTACTGTGACAAGTGTAGTTAGTAGTTTAGTGTAGTACTAGTTGTACTACTCTCTTACTAAGTTACTAAGCAGTACTGTTAAACTTAAACTAGTACTTAGTACTCAACAGTAGTGTCTAGTCTCAGTCTAGTACTAGTATTAGTATTAGTAACTACTAGTTACTTCTGTAGTCTGTAGCAGTACTAGTAAGTACTACACTACACTAGCTCTACACGAGTCTACAGCTACTTGACTTGTCTTATACAAGATCTAAAATCTATGTCTTAGGGGTCATCCATAAATGACTTCACTCGTAGGGGGGAAGGGGGGGTCCGTAATTTTGTGACGATGTGTGATGAGGGGGAGGGGGGGGGGGGTTCAGATGTTGCAACATCACATTTTTGCATATAAAAAAGCAATGTTAGAAAACGAATTTTAGACATTATTTCGCGATTTAGATAACTGTTTTAATAAATTGTAATAGTTTAGACAAGATTTTGGAAAAATATCGATGTTTTAAAAAAATTCAACTGTAATTTTGAGGGGGGTTGTAGGTTGAGGTGTGACGTCATTTTAGGGGGGGGGGGTCTGGCTTTTTGTGACAAAATGTGACTGAGGGGAGGGGGGGAGGTAAAATTGTCAAAAAAAGCGTGACGTCATTTATGGATGACCCCTTTTATGCTAAACTACTAGCTTCACTAGCTAGATCTAGCAGTTAGATCTAGATTAGATCTAGGTAGATGTGGTAGTTAGTAAAAAAAAATAGTAGAGTAGTACTAAATTGTTAAATAGGCTAGCTAATTAATAAAAAAAAATAGTAAATAGTTAGGCTTAGGCCTATTTAAAAATTCAAATAGGCCTATATTTTCAAAATGTCGCATGTGGCACTAACACATAGGCCAGAGTATATAGATCTAATTTTGTGTGTGTGTGTATTGAACAGCAATGAAAACCCATCCATTTTTGTGTGCGATTGTTTGGGCTAATTTAGTACTTCAGACTTCCTAGATTCTATTACTTACAACTTTCATACTTTGTACTATATTAGTATAATTATATTATTAGAGCAGGGCCTACTTCTTATTTTAGGGTAATTTGTGAATTTAGGCTTATCTAACTAAACTATACATTGTTCTGTTAAGACTAGACTAGTAGATCTAGCCCAGCTAAATGACCTAATTCATTATTATTGAATTTTAGTTAGTAACTAACCTTTAGGCCTCTTAATCATTTTGGTAATTGGTTCCTAATTATCTAAGAGACCTAATTCTAGATGTATTGCTACTATTAGGGACGGAGTGGTCTAGCGGTAGAGAGCTGGACTACTAACCCGTTAGCCTCGAGTTCGAATCCGGGTTCAAGTCAGTAAACCGTCCCTGAGTCCACCCAACTCTGATGGGTACCTAACTCACGTTAGGGAAAGTAAAGGCGGCTGGGCATAGTGCTGACCACACTATCTCTTCATATGCCGAGGTCACAGAAACAAGTGATTTTAGTGAACTCTATTTCACTTGCCCCATAGACCGTCAGGTTTGAAAGGGAAACTTTATTGCTACTAGTGCAATTGCTGTAACTGTAACAATAAGTGTTCACTGTTTAACAATCCTTTAAATGTGTAAGTGTAAGACTGAGGAAGCAACTTTCAATAATCAGGCAAAAGTCTTCAATGTTTGCCTGAAACAAAAAGCTTTGATTCACATTACTATATTTATATACACTAAGTCATGCCATGCATTGTAAACACTGAAAATATAATTAGAATATAATAATATAATTAGAACAGTGTGCATGTTATTGGAAGATAACTACTAAAATTTCTTTATGCCTCACATAGTCAACAGGATCTGCATTGCAGGGCCCAAAACTATTCTCACAGAACTATCATGCACCATCAATATAATATCTTAGATTTTTTTTTAAATATATACTACTGTCTAGCATATAAAATATAAAGCAGTGTGAAATAAACACTATAATGTCAGATTCTCACACTGACAGATAAATACGCAGTAGGTATATTAACCAACATTTTATTTCAGTGCCTTGTTACTCAGTTTATAAACATGGATTTTGGTAAATAAAAAAGATAATATATAATGCTTAAAATAAAATGTCAATACTAAACTGAATCTTAACCTTATTGTCCAAACTGATTTGATATGTATTAGTAATCATAAATTCATAATAAACCATTTCTGGGTATTAGTAGATTAGATTCTTGACTTCACTTCTGAGTTTTTGAAGACACAACTAATATAAGGCAACTTAACATATTCTATCCACTCTCACATATACTCATATGAGGTCAGAACAATAAAAACTTTATAAGTATTTTAAAAGATAAAGGTTAATCTAAAACAAAAGGTGAAACATATCTAATGCAGAAAACATTATGTATTCCACAATAGGGTACTTGATTGAAAAACAATGTGTATAATGAATTTATACAAGTGATGGTAAATTTAACTAAGATTTTCCTTACCTTAAACTGATGTTGATCAGATCTGTACTTGTTTTATTGTTACAGATATTAGCATATAATACTCTAAGTTTATAATCCATTGTTACAGTTATTGACACAGAATTCTCTTATTTGATTGTTACAGTTTTTGACACAGATTTCTCTAATTTGATGACACATTAATGCATATTTTAGCACAGATTTATTGAATTAAATGATCCATTGTTACATACATTGGCTCAGATTTATCTAATTTAATGATCCATTGTTACAGATATTGGCACAGATTTATCTAATTTAATGATTCATTGTTACAGATATTGGCACAGAATGCAGAGCTGAAACAAAAGCTGCACTACGTTAAAAGAAAGAAAGATGAAGTCCAGCGCCAGTTGGACTCTCTGCTGACCAGAGATCAGAAAACACAGCCCAAGCTGGCAACAAAACAGTATGTTTTTGTTACGTTGCGGATTTGTCTATAAATAGTGTCACTTACCAGGGGAGGTGACGTTCTGACATTTGCGATGATTGTTTATGGACTGCAGGGTATGAGAAATCTGTATGGAAGGGCTGTAGGTGTTGTAACTTGGTGACATTGCTGAGGAGGGGTGGTTGGGTGGGTGAGCTGGCTTTTTCTGATCACGTTTGATAATGTGTGTGTTGCTGCTCTAATAATGTGATGTCATTATAGACCTGGGTCAGCGGCATCAGGTTGGTAAAGCTCGTGGTCACACTACTGAAAAGCCCAGAGTTTATGCTTGATAGCTGGGGATAGAAACCTTTCTAGGAGAGAAAACTCCAAAACCAAACAACTGCTGCCTTGAAGTTTGCTCATGTATGAGCAAAGGCTGTAGATCCAAATCCAGAAAGAATAGCAGGCTGAGATCTGAGTCAACAGCCCTTATAGAGCCTAACTGGTATTACTTAAAAGAGTTGAAGGGAATCCCTTCCACAAATTCCCTTCCACCATTACAATAAAGAACAAAGAAGAATAGACAACCTTTATTCTTTTCAGTTTATTTTTCATCTCATATTAATTTACAATAACATTAATGAAAAAATAATTTAAAAATATTATTTTTTTAAAATGATTCTTTAACCTGTGAAATGAATATTTTGTTGCTAAACTATTTACATAGTATAAGCAATATACATTGTTGAACCATAAAAGATGAGTCAGCAGAATTGTGGAGATTATTTATAGGCATGGTGGGAAGTGGGGGGGAGTAGACAGGATACATCTTTTTTTTAAACAATCACCCACCAGGACTCAACTAAAAATAGCTCACAGTTTCACAGTTTTGATAGGGAGACAAATTGCTTGACATTTAATTATGAGAATACTTTCAAACAATTTCACAACATCAAATTGTCACGTATCAGATGATTGCCCTAGTGTAGGATGGTGAGTGTACCAGTTTGAGGGTCAAGGTAATTCCCCTTTGTGTGCCCCACTGGTGAAGGGGAGGTTGTGGCGTAGTGTATTGTGTAATGGGAACAAATTTGTTCACTTTTCCTCTGTCACAGTTTGTGGACAAATTGACTAGACTCTAACCTTGACATATGAGCAACGCCAAACAAAATGCTGAAAGTTAAAAATAAATTCCATTTATTAAAGAAAATATATGGAACGAATTCAAATTTTATAATTGTTTATAGTTTTAATTTGAAACAAATTATTTACAATTTAAAATATTTTTTTGGTGTTGACAAGTGTGGCCATACAAACAGAGTTGAAGCCCTGGACACTGCGCAGTGTGAGCCAGTTGACCAAACCACCAGACAAACAGCTGCAAGAATCTGACCTCTCTAAAATAAACAAGTAAGAGTTCGTTCTCCGTCACCTAACAGTTTAAAAGTATTTTTTTGTGTGCGGAACATTTGGCCTTGTGTGGTCGCCAGAAGATAAAAAAAATCACAGAATATCTTAAACTATTCTATGTGGAACAATCATGAAGATTTACAGGATATTTAAGACATCCAAAAATAATGGGCCCTTTAAGCAAAGACAATCAGGCATTTTTTCATTCACTGCTAGTCTGAATGCTTGCAAGTGCAAGCTAATTTAGAATGTAGACCCTATGCCTAACAATTGCATTATTTAAAAAAAATGTTGGTCACCACAGCGCTATGCAATCTGATGAAACAAATTTCAATTGCCGGTTTCATTTTTAAATGAAGGGGGGGGGGGGGTGTACTGTCAATAGTATGCCTGAACTCCCCCTTAATCCGCCACTATTTCTGAACAACTAACATCAACATGAAACATCACATATTTGTTTGTTTGCCAAAGACATTGGTCTAACCATGCTACAAATTCGTTTTATGCTTTTTATTTGTAGTCAGCCTTTTCTGTTTGTCAATTGTGTTTAGGCTAATGGACATGCATTCCCAGTTACTGAAGAGGTATGACAAAGAGGTGAAACTAAACATGAGCTATGCTGACACCATCTCTGAGTTAAATGTAAGTATCATCATGGATCTAATTAAAACAAATATTACAATATTTTTTAATGTGTTAATTAGCTCACTTGTTCAGAGATGTATTACTTTTGTATCTGCCTATTTATTTAAGTCTGGGTCACGATTGCCTGGTTTTTCAACACCTGGTAGGTCAGGGTCACCATGACTCAGTTTTGAATTTAAAGCATGGGTCACCATGACCTTGTTTGTTATAATGACCAGAGGGTCAGGCATGTGTCACATTGAGGCTTGTGCAGCATTCGTTATATCACTGTGCTGTTGATTGCTGTCAAGGTGTTTTTAGCTTTAAGAGGCCCATCCTAATCTTTCTAATGCTGAGGTCATTTAGAAGGCTATATTAAACCATTCATCCTAAACTGTCTGATGCTGAGGTCAATTCACAAGGCTATCTTAAATCTTTTGTTGTTAAAAAGCCATAAAGCACTTTCACAAATATATTTTCCAGACATTGGAATAATTAACTTACTAGCATATTTTACATAATAAATAATCTATATATATATAATTCTCTTCTGGGAGACGCTAGAAAACAAGCTGTAAACGCGCTCCCTACCTCCCCACCCCTACATGGTCTTAGTGAGCTGTGTTCACTCTAAATGTTTACAAGCAGAGCCGGGTTTAGTGACGCCTATTAGGGGCAGATAATTTAGTTTGAAACGATTTTAAACGTAGGGGGAGGGGGGGGGGGGGAAGAAGGGGGGGGTTATGGTCCTTAACGAGCTACTTATAGTGTTTTAAAGAAATATTTTCAGTGGCAGCGTTGGTACCGTCGAATTCACAAATTATGAATTACTGAAAAATAATTTACAAGCTCATTGCTAATGAATTTATTCTTGTTTCATAATGTAATTTTTTTTTAAAGCCACATCTCTGTATAGCTGAAGGGAGGTAATCCATCATATTATTGTTATTTGATCTCCCTTTGTTAAATCCATTTCAGATCAAGTTAGCTGAGGCAGACAAACATTTGAGAGAAGCAAGGGAGAAAACTCTTAACTTAGAAAGGGAGTTAATTTTATCTAAAGCTAAATCAGCTAAACCAGGTTTGATTAAATCGTTTTCAATGTTTTTTTTTCTATAATCTAGTGATTACTTGGTGCATACATTTTATTTCCTTCTATTCAAATTAAACAATATTTAAAAAAAAAATCATTTTCTATTTACAGTTAATGAGGTGATATGCAGTGTATTTCAAATAATAATAAAATATCATTTTCTTTTTTACAAGAGTGTGAAGATCATGTTCTGAGAGATGTATTGAAAGAAAGAAACAAGTTAATGAAAGAAAATAAAAGATTAAAAGGGGAGTTGAAGGGTTTAGACCAGGTAAGCAATAAGAAAACATATGTTAATGTTGTTTCAGTTATAGTGCTGTGATAGCTTCAGAATGTATTAAAATGGTTTTGTAGGATGTATTTTTTTAGGATATGATTTTTTAAAAGTTGAAATTATTTTTATTTAGATTGAGTTGTAAAATAAATAAATAAACAAAGTAAAAGACTACTACTACTAGTAAATATTCCTGTTGTTTTGAGCAATTATTTGGTTATCTAAGTTATTAATTTGACAGTTTTAAGTATTTTCTTTTGTCTATATATCATTATGTTATAATATTTTCCTGTTGGTGCCCAAGACACTTGTAAAGTAAAGTTCCCTTTTCAAACCTGACGGTCTATAGGGCAAGTGAAGTAGAGTTCACTTGTTTCTGTGACTTCTGCATATGAAGAGATAGTGTAGTCAGCACTATGCCCAGCCGTCTTTACTTTCCCTAACGTGAGTTAGGGACCCAAGACACTTGGGAAGATGAACTTTTAAATATTTTGGCCTACATATGGGTAATGTTGTCAGCACTATACCCATCCGCCTTTCTTTCCCTAAGATTAGTTAGGTACGCATCAGAGGTGGGTTGACTCACGGACGTTCTACTGATTTGAACCCAGAATTGAACTTGAAACATTTGGGCTAGCAGTTTAGCTCTCTACTGCTAGGCCATGTCGCCCCTATCATTATGTTATGATAACTGGTGTTATTTTATTTTTCAGAACTTCTTTGATGAAATTGAAGACTTGAAATTTGCTTTGCTTCAATCCAGCAAGATCAATGAAGAATATAAAAACACTTTGGCCAAAATGTGTTTGCAATTTGGCCTTCCTTTTCCCCCTTCAGACAATTACCAGGGGTCGGCGTGGTCGAGTCGGTAAAGCTCATGGTTGCTAAACCGAAAAGTCTCGAGTTCGAACCCTCGGGCAGATGAGGCTCGTTAGCTGGGGACAGCCACTCTTCTAGGAGAGACAACTCCAAAATTAAACAACTGCTGCCTTGTAGTTTGTTCTTGGTTGGACAAAGGCTATGGAAGCAAATCCAAAAAGAAAAGCAGGCTGAAATCGGAGTCAATGGCCTCAATGGCGCATAACCAGTTGACACGTAACGCTTAATTGTGTTGGAGGCGTGGTCGAGTCGGCAAAAAAAGCTCATGGTTGAAAAAATTCGAACAAAGTCTCGATTTCAAACCCACTGGCAGATAAATCTCGATCCCCTTCAACACTAATAATTAAGAACGAAGAAGAAGAAAGAAGAAGACAATTACCTGGCCAAAAATCCAACAGTCACCATGATCAAGTAAAAATTTTGACCAACAAATAGAAAAGACAAGTCAGGAAATTATACAATAATTTATTGACAAATTCAATAATGACTAGGCAAAATGGATGTGATATTAATTTAAATAGAAAATTATAGGCAATATTAGTTAACCCATTAACTGCTGGAGCACTGCATGGATGTCATGCAAGTTTTAGCAGCCAAAGGGTTAACTTGGGTTTTTTGTGTGCAATGTCAAACATTTTCTGACTGGTCAAAAATGTGTAGCAGATATGTTGAAAGACAAGAAAGTGTTAACAAATCAAATTTTGATGGTGCTTTGATTAGCACAGCAAAACACACACTCACATACTACTTCGAGATTGGCATCATACTTTTGTTATTGGTTACTTGAATGTTGCCTTTTGACACTTGCCTTCAAGCAAAAAAAAAAAAAAAAAACCAAACCATTCATGCTTCTGCTATATCAAACTTGGACTGTTCTGCTACACAACAGCATAGATCAACATTGACAGTTAAAAATTGTGGTTATTATTAACATTCCAGTTGAAGCAACATGACAACTGTACAGAGAGGGAGGGGGTGAGGATGGATTTTCCCAGCTCAAAACATGAGACTGAACACAAAGGATTCAGTAATATGAATAGTTTACATAAATGTGCTAAGTTGTCAACTGAGCATTTGGTAGTCATGGAAACAAGAACAGTCACTCTTGTTGAATTTTTATTTATTTATTTACAAAGGATTTCTATTCAGCCAGTATTAAATAACTTGTGGTTTTGGTTAGCAAAGTTTTTCCCCCACTTCAAGTGGTTTAAAATGGAACAAGTTTATAACATTGGTTTTAGCAATTTTTCTTTACAGATTAGTGGAGTCACTTCTAGCTTGAAGAAAGAATGTTTTCATGGGTTCTTTCCCTTTGACCTTAGTGATCCCCCTGTAATCGAGGTGGTAGCCATTTTTGGTCAGAATGGCAGCTGTCTCCTCCCTGACCTGGTGACACACAGAACGTTTCACAATCAGATCAACAATCTCAACAATCACATCAACGTATCACATATGTAAACAAGATTGAGATGGAACAGACACTAAAAACAGGCAACCTGACTTTCGTCATTAAATATAGACAACCTGGAACATTGTACTAAAGCTAGACTACCTTATCTTTTTGTTTAAAATAAACTACCAGGATCTTTTCTATAAGACTACCTGGATCTTGCCACTAAAGGTGTAGACTGCCTGGATCTTTAAGATAGACAACCTGAATCTTCCCATTTATAACTATAGACTACCTGGATAGACCTACTTTTATAACCTGGATTTTCCAAAGGTAGATTACCTGCATCTTGCCTGTAAAGGTGTAGACTGCCTGAATCTTCCCATTTATAACTATAGACTACCTGGATAGACCTACTTTTATAACCTGGATTTTCCAAAGGTAGATTACCTGCATCTTGCCACTAAAGGTGTAGACTGCCTGAATCTTCCCATTTATAACTATAGACTACCTGGATAGACCTACTTCCTGGATTTTCCAAAGGTAGATTACCTGCATCTTGCCACTAAAGGTGTAGACTGCCTGAATCTTCCCATTTATAACTATAGACTACCTGGATAGACCTACTTTTATAACCTGGATTTTCCAAAGGTAGATTACCTGGATCTTGCCACCAAAGGTAGATTACCTGAATCTTGCCACCAAAGGTAGATTACCTGAATCTTGCCACCAAAGGTAGATTACCTGGATCTTGCCACCAAAGGTAGATAACCACTAAAGGTAGATTACCTGGATCTTGCCACCAAAGGTAGATTACCTGGATCTTGCCACCAAAGGTAGATAACCACTAAAGGTAGATTACCTGGATCTTGCCACCAAAGGTAGATTACCTGAATCTTGCCACCAAAGGTAGATTACCTGGATCTTGCCACCAAAGGTAGATTACCTGGATCTTGCCACCACAGGTAGATAACCACTAAAGGTAGATTACCTGGATCTTCCCACTAAAGGTAGATTACCTGGATTTTGCCACCAAAGGTAGATAACCACTAAAGGTAGATTACCTGGATCTCACCACCAAAGGTGGATTACCTGGATTTTGCCACCAAAGGTAGATAACCACTAAAGGTAGATTACCTGGATCTCACCACTAAAGGTAGATTACCTGGATTTTGCCCGCTTCACCAGAACTGTCCATCCTGCTGGCCACATTGACCGTGTCCCCCCAAATGTCATACTGGGGTTTCCTGGCACCAATGACTCCAGCAATCACTGGACCATTATTGACACCTGCAAACACAATGTATCCATTCATCATTACACGTTTAACAGTAAACCAATACAGTGATGACAAACCTTCGATATGGCCACCAATCAACACAACAACATGTATCACCCTTCTGTTTTTAAACGTATCACTCATGTGCTATCTTACATATTTTAGCACTGAAGAGTTAAAAATAAAATGATTAGAAAAAAATGTTACCAATTCTCAAGCTAAAGTTGTTGAAAGAATGTTCGTTGATGGCGTCTAATTTGGCCATGATGGCCAAGCAGAACTGAATCATTAGAATAATGTCTCGCTCACACGTTTCATTATCCTGGATAACACAAAATACTATATTATTAGTTTACTTGAAAGAAACGTTAAATATTAAAACATTCTCTATGCAGACTTTTATTTTATACACTTTCACGATCAGTTGATGTAAGGATAAAGAACTTCTAGTAATTAAAATTTACTTCTCAACACACTTAACTTATTACTACAGACATTCTTCATTTAATTACATTTTATTGGTAACATTGTATTCATAAAGTTAACTATGATTATTGTACTTTAAACAAATTTAAGTCTCAATCCCTCAAAAGTGTTTACTGCTGTTTTCAGGTGTAATAAATTTAAAGGATGTCTCACTATTAAGTAGATACGATTAGACTATTTGTACCTTGTAGAAAATGTTTGTATTAATGTTCATGTACATAAAACAAGATATATTTTGCATTAAATTTTAAACCCAACAATTGACCTTGTTTCTGATTTAAGTAGTCTCCCTTTAACTTAAAATTTTTTTTTTGCTTTTGACCAAAACAGCAAGAATCGTAGTGCAGATGGAAGTAGTGCACTAAAAATAAAATACAGCTAAAAGACACAATACAGCCAGAAGAAATGATGCAGATAGAGAAGTTAGCTCAGTCTAGCTCTCACCTCTATTCTTCTAGCCCCAGCATGTAGGCCTGTGGCTGCCATGTATGTGCTTCCAATTGTTTTTATTTTCTCAACTTCCTGAAATTTCTTTATAAGTAGCTGTGGAGACAATATTATGATCTTTTTATGAAGCAGCACAAAATCTGAGGCAATACATTGGTCATGCTCTAATCTATAAACATGTTCTTATAACAAGTGACTTAAACATGTACCTGGAGCCACAAATTCATGTAAAACTTATGAATCTAACCTATATACTTGTTCTTGAGATAAGTGCCTTAACATGTTTTCAGTATTCCATAAAATGTAATAATTTTTTTGATAAAAAGTACCATGCATGTTTTCAGTGCAACAAATTGATTAAAACCTACCACATCGAAGTCTGAAATGATCTCGTTGAGTACCCGTATACACTCCAGCCCCTCGCCATTTGCCTTGGTTTGCTGGTAGAAATCTTTAAAGTTTGGAATTGAGGCAAACATGACACAGGCATTGCTGCAGGATTCATGGTACAGTTCCTTAAATATTGGTTGAAAGAAGTTTAGAACAAAAGAAAATTGGATACAGGTTTCAGACATAATATATTCTTTTAAGGAACATTACATAATTTTAGACTAATTTATTAGTAGGCCTGGGCATTTTTATTTTTCTATGGAATCTTATTTTTTATAAAAAAAAAAACAGATTTCAAAAGCCTACATTTCACGCTGCGAAACAAAAAACTCCTAATAACTAATGACCCACCTCATGTTTGCGAGAGGATCGCAGGTAATATGCTATAACGTGGGATGGTATGATATTTTCCAGAACTATTTTGTTTATAGCAGCCATCATTTTTACCTGGAGATTTAAAAACAACAAACACTTTTTATAAGTAGGTTTCATCAAAAGTTGAACAATTTAAATGAAACAAAATAGGAAACAATATTAAAAAGAATTGATACACCAGTGACTTTTACAATACAAGCCAAGTTTGATGCGGAATTTCTATATCATAAAATGATTACATTTAATTTTTTAATATTTTTAAATTGTAAATAATCTAATGACCTGTTGGAATTTATAAGCTCAGTGTCTGTCCCTAATAGCTTACTGGATTTTAGATTTTGTACATCTTAATAACTTAAAATACTGTCACACACTAAATTATGAATTTAAAAAAAAACAACTGTTTGACAACAAATTATGAACTAAATAACTTAAAATACTATTACACACCAAATTATGAATTAAAAAACTACCTATATAAAATAAAATACTGTCTTACATCCAGTATTAAAAAACTTAATTACTTAATTAAGTAATTAAAAATGAATAAAAAAAACAATATAACAAAAAACTGTCTAACAACAAATTATGAACTAAATTACCCACCTGTTCTGTCTCTCTCTGGAACTGTAGTTTGAATAAATGTCCTAGCCTGTTTGCATATTCCATCTGTCTGTCTAGGTAATGCATAGTCAACAACACAATAACAAAATAAATGGTAGCTCTTTCTCTTAGTGACATGTATTCATTCCCTTCACTGAAAAAAAAAACAAAATGCAAACTAAAAATTTTGAAAATTAAAAAAAAAAATTAATTAATTAATATATCTAATATACTGAGTAAAAAAACTACAATATAGTGCCATAGTTATGTATTGATTAACTACTGTGCTTAATGTTTTTAAAATAAATTTAGTAATTAAATGGTCTTGCCTGTGTAGGTAATCATACTGATCAAACACTGAGCCTTTCCCTGCATGTATGATGATGTTGACTAAGATGAACATGATGGAGAGAAAGATGAGTTTGATGATGAAGCTGATCTGTATGAAGATACTGTAACCAGTGAAGGCGAGCAAAAAGCTTAAGACATAATACTGTGGAGGAAAAGAAATAAAATTATTTTGGCTTCTTCTTCGTTCTTAATTTTTAGTGTTGGGAGGGATCGAGCCTTATCTGCCAGAGGGTTTGAACTTGAGACTTTTTTTCGAATTTATCAAACATATCTTTGCCAACTCGACCATGCTTCCATCACAATTAAGGATTACGTGTCAACTAGTTATGCGCCATTGAGGCCATTGACTCTGATTTCAGCCTGCTTTTCTTTTTGGATTTGCTTCCATAGCCTTTGTCTAACCAAGAACAAACTACATGGCAGCAGTTGTTTGATTTTGGAATTGTCTCTCCTAGAAGAGTGGCTGTCCCCAGCTAATGCGCCTCATCTGCCTGATGGTTTGAACTCGAGACTTTTCGGTTTAGCAACCATGAGCTTTACCGACTCTACCAGGCTGACCCCCTAGTTTGGCTTAAAAACTGGAAGAAAATCTGGCAAGATTAAAAAATGTAACATAATTTTCTAAAAATAGTATGGGTTTTTTAAAGAGTAAATTATTGTTATCAAATTGAACTGACTGAAGGGTAGCTACATAGTGCTGTCCCTGTCTCAGACTTTGCCGCTGTTCTATCTGTTGCGTTCACAGAGCCTTCACAGTGTGCCTGTGTGAAAGAACATTGATCAAGGTTTTAAAGGGTTGTCTATAAAACTATGTTTTGAAATTGTATACTATTTAGAGGACTGACTGAAAAAAAGTAATGCATTTTTCATTGTTCAAGGAAGATAAAAAAAAATTTCCATTAGAATTCATTCTCAGATAGGGCAGATGAAGTAGAGTTCATCAGTTTTAATGACCTTGATATATAAGGGGAAAATGTGGTAAGCACTTAGCCGAGCTGCCTTTGTTTCCCTATTATGACTCAGGTACCCATCAGAGCTGGGTGGACTCTGCGATGTTCTACAGACATTCACCTGCTTCATTAGAATTAGGCCTATAGTATTTAAAGAAAATGTTAGGCTGGACATTTTGTGGCATTCCGAAAGGAGGGGGAGGTAGCTATTTAAATGCTCTGTGAGGGTACAGGAGCTTGGCAATGTATGGGGAAGATATGCTAAAATCTCTAAATAGGCCTCGATTCTATAAGTTAATTTAAAAATCAAATATCAGTTCATTATTAAAAATAGTTTTGAACTATCCCAAATGTATGCATCTAACATGTATACATGGTTTTCAGACAAGATCTTTAAACATGTCTACTTTTGTAACAAAGTCATGAAAACAGATCAATCTAACCTATATAATGCCACATGGAGGGGGGGGGGGAGATATTGTGAATGACATATTTAAAAAAAGAAATAAAACCAGCTAGACATTTACCATGCTGATAGTTGAAGTGAAGAAAATAAAGCCCACGCAGCACAATGAAAGCACCACACGCACCCATGCCATGGTGCCCACATACTCTGAGATCTTGGTGAAAATGTCCAAAAATTTGTGACAGCGTTTCTGCAATGTTTACAAGTTTTTAAAATGAGGATCAGCCAGTTTGTCAACGACAATTATGTTTTAAAAATAAAACTCCCATAATTCCTTGAGTTAACCAAAATTGATCTTACCAAAAAATGAAACTTGTTACACAAACACACAGCTGTTAAAGCTGTAAATAACAAAACTCCAAAAAAGGAGGTGACGAAAAACAAAGCACTCCTGAAAGAAAAAAAAATGTTTTGTTTGTTAGAAGGTTATTTTAATTACTGCTTTGTAATGTTACATAAGTTATGTAATGCATTAGAATCATATCTTTAAGCTTTTAATCATTTGCAAAATAATCAATATTTTTAAATTTTATTTTATCATAAATTGGGAGTATTATTAAACTAAAATATAATATTAGAAAACAATTTCTAATTTATAGTCTTATGCAAAGGCATTATTTATACACTTATTTATACACATAATACCCTAATTTAGATTACGACTCTTGATCAAAATATTTTCTTCGTAAAACATCTTTCTAATGCTTTGCAGGTTTTTTTTTAGAATTGTTGTGAAAAAATAACTAGTGACTAATCAGCTCACTGGGCAATATAATGTGGTCTAAATGAAGAAAGTAACAAAATGTAATTGAAAAATAATAATTACCTGGGCAACATGATAGCCTGAATGATGAATATAACGATGAAGATGAAGAAAGCTGAGATAACGTAAAATGAGAACATGTCATCAGATTGTTTTGAAAAACTGTGCTCGGCTGAGGGGTCAAGAAACTGCAGGAACACGGAATGCATCTCTGCTTCAGATTTACACTGGTAGCTGGGGAACAGAAGATTTGGTACTTTAAAATATTAACATAGAAATATTAGAGTTGAATACATTTTTTATAATAATAGTAGGCAAGTTATAGTTTTGTTAGTAAAAAGTGTAATTAAAGCTTAATTTTGTTAATCTTTAAAATAAAATTTCATTCAAAAAAATATAAATTACTGGAAGTTTAACTAGGTGTTTATTTGGTTATAAACTTTAAAGAAGTTCAATGGGTAGTCTATCAGTTTTACCACAGAATAATTTAAACTAATCAATTCTTTAAGTCTTAAAATGAGTGACTGACCTGTTGTGACTGATATTATTTAACCTCTCTCTAAGTCTTGAACTGAGTGACTGACCTGTTGTGACTGATATTATTTAACCTCTCTCTAAGTCTTGCACTGAGTGACTGACCTGTTGTGACTGATATTATTTAACCTCTCTCTAAGTCTTGCACTGAGTGACTGACCTGTTGTGACTGATATTATTTAAACTCTCTCTAAGTCTTGCACTGAGTGACTGACCTGTTGTGACTGATATTATTTAACCTCTCTCTAAGTCTTGCACTGAGTGACTGACCTGTTGTGACTGATATTATTTAACCTCTCTCTAAGCCTTGAACTGAGTGACTGACCTGTTGTGACTGATATTATTTAACCTCTCTCTAAGTCTTGCACTGAGTGACTGACCTGTTGTGACTGACATTATTTAACCTCTCTCTAAGTCTTGCACTGAGTGACTGACCTGTTGTGACTGATATTATTTAACCTCTCCTGGAGACGCGTGTTGATCTCATCCTGCTGTTGTTTGTCTGCTGCCAGAAGTCTGTCACAGGTAAACAAAGTTCAAAGGTTTTGACATAGATAATATTTCAATGTTATACTTTTTAATACGTTTGTATAGGGGCAGTGTTCAATGTTTTTCAGAACTAGCAAGTCATAAAATATACTCATTGATTTGTATAGATTTGAACTCACCCTTGATCAATGCCAGTGGAGTTCATCATAAAGTTGGAATCTATCAAAGCAAGGCTCTGTAACAAATTCAAGTGAATTATAGAAAAATTGCTGGATAATGATAAAGGAAGAAATTTTATTTCAAAACTTAATAGTTAAATTAAAACAAATACCTCTGGACTAAAACATACTTAATTCAATTGACATATAGAAAAATTGCTGTATATTCATAAAAGAAAATCTTATATTGAAACTTAATAGTTAAATTAGTGGTCGTCCATAAATAACATCATGCTCGTAGGGGGGGAGTCAGAAATTTTGTGACGGTGTGTGATGACGGGGAGGGGGGTTCAGATGGTGGGATGTCACATTTTTGAATTAACAAAAAGTAATGTTAGAAAAAAAAATTTAGGGGGGAGGTAAAAATCGTCAAAAAAAGCTTGACGTCATTTATGGATGACCCCTTAAAACAAATTTGGACAAAACAAAATAATTCAATTTAATTCATAGAAACATTACTGGACTTTTATAAAAAGAAAAGTTTATAGTGATACTCAATAAAACAAAAATTTAAACAGAAAAATACAAATTAGCCTGACCGTGAGACTCAAGACTTTGGAGACCATGGAACTGGTCTTCAGGTTGGCGAAAGGTTTGTCTACACCCCAGGTCTCCAGGAACTTGGTCACTCGCAGAGATTTGCGCAGTCCACTCAGGTGGTACCTGGTCTTGCCCAGCTTCCTGTCCCGCGTCTGAAACAGTTGATTGTAACATGAGTACTCACTACTGCAAAGGCATGTAACGCACTATATTTTTTTCTCTTGCTGTAAAAAGTATAAAAGGTGCGCATAGCTTTCTAGGATTTTCAAGAGGATTTGTGTAATGGAGGCTAGAAATTTCTTAGATATTATGTAATAAAACTAATTTAATTAGTTAAAATATAAACTTTTAATTTTGACATATAGGACCTATCTAGCATTCTTTAGATTAAAAGGTTTCCAATTTAAAAATTTTTTATGATCTTAAATTTGTTGATGTGCAGGCTTTCCCAAATCAGTACAGTACCAAGATTTAAAAAATAAATTTATAACATGTTTTACTTCCCCTGGGGAAAGAGAAAAGTAAGCAGGACAAGGAAATCCTGGACAGTAGAAGATGAGGCAAGGGCTGCTGGGCTTGCATGGGTACAAATAAAGAGAGCCACTCAAAACCTAGTCCAGTGAAGAGGTGTGGCTGCAGCTCTTTACGACCCAGGGCCACAAAGCAATAAGTGAAAAGAATAAACCAATTCTTTAAAAAGTTGTTTCCAGCCACTTACTTGCCGCCTCTCTACTGGAACCACCAGGAATGTTTCCACTTTGTTCTCAGCTAAAAATAAACTTCTCTCATGTCCTTTACCATCCTCCACTTCATATTCTCCTTCAAGAAAAGCCAGCGTTTGCTTTGAGATGTGAACACGGCTAAAACAGAAAAATAAATAAAATACATAAATCAAATAATTAGTTAAATAAATAAATAAAATAAATTGATGTTTTCTTTAAATAGATAAATTTTAAATGACATTTTAAAGTAGAAGAAAGAAAAACTGTGCTACAAGGTTGAAATTTTCTTTGTGTCTGGCCTAAAATTGCTGTCATGCAGATTCATGAAAAATGTATTGAATAATTAGTAGGCCTACAACTTAACATAGTTATACATGGGCCTACTAATAGACTAATAGATCATCAGGTACAATTACTACAATATCCATAAGCTTATCTACTACGAGTTTGTAATAACCTTCTCATTTAGCATATCTACTGTCTACATATTAATAAGGGAACTTACTCCATTTTCCACCATTTCCATTTCCATAATTTAAAACATGCCACTTCTGTAAACTAGATCTTTATTCTTCTATTCCTTTACACCCCAACCAAACCCCTGGCAAAAAGTCTGCTCTAATAGCAATATAGCAATACACCATAATACTGCACATTTTATTAAAGGCTTTTTAGGTCTTATGTCATAATAGGCCTACTTCTGTTAATAAGCTGGGAAGAAATAGATTTTGCTAATCCAAAGCATAAAGTGTAATTATTAAATTTTCCTATAGCCTGTCAGTGTCATAAATTGTTTAGTTTTAGTCTTATAATCATTATAATTATACTCATTTATAGTCTTATAGCCAGATATGATAAATAAAAAAAAGTTTTAATGTTGGTCTACATTAAGATTTAAGAACGATAACAAGATTTAGATCTATATTATTAGCAACTATTAACACTGTAAAACAAGTTGTACTGATCTAATTACTAGAGTTCCTAAAAATGAGATTAAAATTGAGGTTACCCAGGGAGGCCGCCAGACTCCATGTGGTTTGCTATGGTAACATCATCAGACCACACATCGTACTGCCATTTTCTAAGGCCCAGTACTCCACAGAGCACAGAGCCTGTGTGAACTCCAATCCTCATATCAACATCCACATTGGTTGCTTCCCTTACATCTCTGTCAAGTTGCCAGCAAAGTTCAAAGGTTAAATTTAACACACTTGATGACTTCAATTCAAGTGTAAACAGGAACACAATAATCGCCATTTATATCTATCATAGTCATGTAAAAATGGAAGTGAGTTTTGATGACAAACCAATTTTTACCCGGGGACAAACTTTCGATTTGCACCCCCCCCCCCCTCAAACTTTCGATTTGCACCCCCTCATACTTTTTATATATATATACTGAGGGGTCTATGGGGGGGGGGGGTTATGACCCCCCTAACCCCCTGCCTACGCCACTGCTATTGCTATTCCATAGCGATTTATTACTGTAGCTAGCTCATAGCTAACTTCGAGCTATTCCATAGCTATACTGTAGGTAGACTTTAGCTATCGTGTATCTAGCCCATAGCTATCCTACAACTATATATTACTGTAACTAGCTGATAGCTGAGATCAACTTTCAGACATGACAGTCCTTAAGGCAAATAAAGTAGAGTTCATCTATTTCTTTAACCTCACCAGGTGTAAGGATTATGTGGTTAGCCATATGCCAAGCCACACATTACTTTCCCCAATTCAAATCAGGTACCAAATTTTGCTGAGTAGACTCAGCTCAATTACTAACTGAACTTGCCCTTAACAAATGGTACAGATATGTTAGCTTTAACCATGTTTCAGAGTAGTATGGACCTCACAGTTTCTCTATATTTGTCTTGTGGGGCCATTGATGTATAAGGTTTGTTTCCTACATCATATTTATCATGCACACCATTTTGTCAATCACAACAAATGTAACATAATTCTGAATAATTTAAAGCAGGTATATCTGTATTAGAAAGATCTAAGATTTGATGTTAATCTTATAAAGGACCTAGTTTAAAGAAATAAGGTAAAATAATTTTATTTTATTTGTTGATTTGATGTACAGAAAGTCTAACAAAAAAGAGCAATGATTAGGAAACAATATTAGTACTTAAAGACATGAAAATTATCTGAAAGAATGGAAATAAATAAAAAAATAAGTAGCAAAGGACAGAAAATGATGTTGTAAATGGCCTATGCTCCACTGGAATGACAAAGGTGTAGAAGTAGAATCTTAAGATTGTTAGAAGAGTTTCAAGAGAAACAAGAACAAGCTTTATCACCTGATGGCGTCCAACATCCTGAGCCCCATACGGACACAGTTGAGCGCGTGATGTTTGTCGGCTGTAGGGACCCCAGAGACACAGTAGTAGCAGTCACCCAGGATCTTGATCCTCATACAGTTGCTCTTCTGGGGAGGGTAAAGGTCATCTTAGTCAGGTGGTCAATCTCTTTGGTAGTGTCAGGCCATTCTTAGGTCACTTGCTTTAGATGTGTCAGGTCATTCTTAGGTCACTTGCTTTAGATGTGTCAGGTCATTCTTAGGTCATTTGCTTTAGATGAGTAAGGTCATTCTTAGGTCATTTGCTTTAGATGTGTCAGGTCATTCTTAGGTCATTTGCTTTAGATGAGTAAGGTCATTCTTAAGTCTATTACTTTAGATGTGTCAGGCCATTCTTAGGTCACTTGCTTTAGATGAGTAAGGTCATTCTTAGGTCACTTGCTTTAGATGTGTCAGGTCATTCTTAGGTCATTTGCTTTATATATGTCAGGTCATTCTTAGGTCACTTGCTTTAGATGAGTCATGCCATTCTTAGGTCCATTGCTTTAGATCAGGGGTCTCCAAACTACGGCCCGCGGGCCGGATGCGGCCCGCGAGATCATTGTATCCGGCCCGCGACGATCTTTTTGTCTACTGAATAAATGTTTGTTGGAGGTGGCCGAGGAGCTTTGCACAGAAAATTCAAAACTATTTGAAAATATAGCTTTGTGTGCAAATACAATTACGCGCCGTGTTGCACAGACGTTGGTGAAAACATTGCGACTCAAATAGCGAAAAATTCAAGCAAGTTAATTTCGCCATTTTTCAATTACAATGGATGAGTCGCTGGGTAGTTGTTCTACCTTAACTTCTTGTGTTCATTAGAGGTGTGGATGAAGACCTGAACACAACACAAGAGCTGGGTTATGTATGAGTCTGTTACCGAAGAGGATATCTAACCATAGATAGTTCAGAGACAAACTCAAAATCGCAAGATTTACTATATTTAACATCAGTAAGATTGCTAATTCTGCAAGAAAATTCTGAGCAGAGTATCTAAGAAAAGAAATAGGGGACTTCCTGATAGTAAAGGCAAGTCACAGTCATTATTGGCTGATGAAGATTGGGTATAGAAATTGGCCTCTGCTGCAGACATACTATTCTTTTAAATTTTCTGAACCTACAACTACAAGAGAGGGAAATCTAGTTTCTGATCTATACACCCACATAAAGGCCTTTAGATACAAACTTATCATGTTTTTGGAACAAGTACAGGCTAACAAATTGGCACACTTTCAGCAGTGCAAGGTCTTTACGGCTGAAGCAACCACTGAGTTCCCCCACGTCATTTACATCCGAGATCATTAAAGACCTCCAGCTGCAGTTTCAGTGGCGGTTTTCTGACTTGGATTCAAAGGCAGAAGAAGTGAGACTGTTTCAAAGTTCATTTGAAGCAAATGTTGTCAGTTGCAAACATGAATTGCAGCTGGAAGTCACTGAATTGCAAGAAAATGACTTCCGTAGAGACACGTTCAAAAAAGGGCGGGTGGGTTTGCATACGTTTTTGCACAAGGAAGACTTTCCTAACATTAAAACTTTTGTATCAAAGTATATTTCAAAGTTTCGAACAACATACCTGTGTGAACAAACATTTTCAAGACTAAAATATGTGTAAAACAATTTGAGAACAAACGTGGACCTCGGGTGGGGGGGTGGGGGTGGACACTTGAAATTTGTATATATTTCTTTATAAATTATATTTCGTTGGGGGGGGGGGGGGGGTATACGTTCTTCGGAGAAGGGGGGGCGCCTCGACCCTGAGGAGATGTCTTAAAGAAACTCTGGCCCCCGAACTGATATTTGATAGTTAATGCGGCCCTCGGGCTGAAAAGTTTGGAGACCCCTGCTTTAGATTGATAAGTTTTATTCAGTGGACCAGTCAACTCACAGAGGCCAGTTGATCGAAGCGTCCAAACAATTCATTCAACATCTTGACCAGCTCTGCTGCCGTGCATTCAGAGGCCAAAGGTGTGAAGTTGACGATGTCTGCATACAGTATGCTGCAGAAGTGGGGAAATCAAAAACATGAATTCACAGAATTTAAGTAATATTAAACATAAACACAAGACACTAATTAAAATAGATGATAGAGATGACTAGCTACATAAGGCCATAGTTTGAGTAATTTATAATAAGCATATAGTCTATGTAAAAAAAATCTTTATTCTTTAAAAGTAGAATATAATATTTAAAATCAATTAAAAAACGACTGAAGTAAGCATTAGAAATGGTTGTTACTGGCTATAAAGATTTTCTCAGCTTCTTCAAATAAAAAAAAAATCTACATATAAATTTAAACTATGAATGATTGTATGAACAAGAGGTAGTTAAGATTTTGCTTTGAAAAATAAAAACTAAAAAACATAAAATTACACATAGATAAGGCAATGAACTAAGTTGAACATATAGTGCAGTGTTATTTGCCAATTTTTTTGACATCGTATCTTTCAACATACACATACTGAAACATCATTGCATACCTAACATTCTCATATCTTTCAACATACAAATCCTGTAACATCACCTACCTAACATTGTCATATCTTTCAACATACTAATCCTGTAACATCACCTACCTAACATTGTCATATCTTTCAACATACAAATCCTGAAACTTCATTGCTTACCTAACATTGTCGTATCTTTCAACATACAAGTCGTGGAACATCACCTACCTAACATTGTCATATCTTTCAACATACAAGTCGTGGAACAACATCGGCCGAGGCTCCCGCATATTTTCCTGTAAATCTTTCTTGATCTCCGTCACCAGGTTGCTGGGTATACACGACACCAACAGCTCGTCCTTGACACATAAAGGGTTAAAGTAAGTCACATGACCACCAGACAAACGAGGGTTAATGGACTACTCCGACCAATTTTTTTCCAAACATACAGTTCCGAAGACTAAAACGTTGTTACTCAATTATTTTAGTTCTGTTCAACTTAGCAGACATTAAAGATATGTCAAAGAAACAAGGCATACATTTAAGATATGACAGTAATATAACAGAAGTCAGTATTGATAAGCAAGACGTATAGGGCCTACAATGTGTTAATAAGCTAGACACACTTCCCGAATTTGCCGGGTTAGCAAACATCAGAAACGCCGGTAATAAAGCAGATAAACATTCGAGTTATGCAAGAACCACACGATAGATACCCAAGAATAAGCAGACACATCTTAGAATAATCAGAATAACCAGACATTCTAGAATAACTAGACATCCCAGAATAACCAGACACATCATAGAATAACCACACATACATCCCAGCATAACCAGACTAACATCCTAGAGTAACTAGACACATCCCAGAATAACCATCCACATCCCAGCATAACCAGACACATCACAGCATAACCAGACTAACATCACAGCATAACCAGATACATCCCAGCATAACCAGACTAACATCCCAGCATAACCAGACACATCCCAGCATAACCAGACACATCCCAGCATAACCAGACTAACATCCTAGAGTAACTAGACACATCCCAGAATAACCATCCACATCCCAGCATAACCAGACACATCACAGCATAACCAGACTAACATCACAGCATAACCAGACTAACATCACAGCATAACCAGACACATCCCAGCATAACCAGACTAACATCCCAGCATAACCAGACACATCCCAGCATAACCAGACACATCCCAGCATAACCAGACACATCCCAGCATAACCAGACACATCACAGCATAACCAGACACATCACATCATAACCAGACACATCACAGCATAACCAGACACATCACAGCATAACCAGACACATCACAGCATAACCAGACACATCACAGCATAACCAGACACATCCCAGCATAACCAGACACATCACAGCATAACCAGACACATCCCAGCATAACCAGACACATCACAGCATAACCAGACACATCACAGCATAACCAGACACATCACATCATAACCAGACACATCACAGCATAACCAGACACATCACATCATAACCAGACACATCACAGCATAACCAGACACATCACAGCATAACCAGACACATCCTAGCATAACCAGACACATCACATCATAACCAGACACATCACAGCATAACCAGACACATCCCAGCATAACCAGACACATCACAGCATAACCAAACACATCACAGCATAACCAGACACATCACAGCATAACCAGACACATCACAGCATAACCAGACACATCACAGCATAACCAGACACATCCCAGCATAACCAGACACATCACAGCATAACCAGACACATCACAGCATAACCAGACACATCACAGCATAACCAGACACATCACAGCATAACCAGACACATCACATCATAACCAGACACATCCCAGCATAACCAGACACATCACATCATAACCAGACTGACATCCTAGAATAACTAGACACATGATAGAACCAGAAATCCCAAAATAGCCAGACAGAAATCCTAGAAAAGTCAGAAATCCTAGAAAAGTCAGACAGAAATCCTAGAAAAGTCAAACATCCCAGAATAACCAGACACATCCCAACATAACCAGACACATCCCAGCATAACCAGACATCCCATAATAACCAGACACATCCTAGAAAAGCTAGCCAGACATCCCATAACTCCCAGACATCCCATAATTCCCAAACATCCCATAATTCCCAAACATTCCATAATTCCCAAACATCCCATAATTCCCAGACATCCCATAATTCCCAGACACCCCAGACGCACCTGCTGCTGTTTCTCCTTCTCCAGCTTTATCATGGAATCCACCGAGTTCCGGGCCTCCAAGAACGCCCGCCTGTGGGCGATGTCAGACAGGAACTTGTGGCTGAGACCGATGACATTGGCACAGACAAGCACCAGCACCGTACAGACCAGCTGGGGGGGGGGGATAATTGGGAGCTGTTAGTTATTTGTATACAACAATTGCTACAGGATTATAACCAATCAACAGCAAATGGGTTAGAGAGCTAGAGAGAATTATGGCCACGGTACCTGTGAGCCAAGGTCAGCGGTCTCGGACATGGCCCCAGCTGTGACCAGGTGTAGCACGGTGACGGCGGTGCCAGAGATGAGCAGCCATTTTCTGGAGAGGGGTAGCACCATGTAGGATACAACCCTGGAATAGACATATGACATGTGACATTCATAACATGTGACATTCATAACATGTGACATATGACATGTGGCATATGACGTGACAAATGACATGTGACATTCATGGCATGTACACCGTGTAGGATACAACCCTGGAATAGACATGTGACATTTGACATGTGACATTCATGACATGTACTTCATGTAGGATACAACAATGGAATAGACATGTGACATTAGACATGTGACATTCATGACATGTACACTATGTATGATACAACAATGGAATAGACATGTTTCATATGACATGTGACATGCATGACATGTACACCATGTAGGATACACTCTGGAATAGACATGTGACATATGGCATTCATGACATGTACATTGTGTAGGATACAACGCTGAAATAGACATGTGGCATATGACATGTGACATGCATGACATGTACACAATGTAGGATACAACCTGGAATAGACATGTGACATATGATATATGACATGTATGACATTTACCATGTAGGATACAACACTGGAATAGACATATGACATGTGACAAATGACATGTGACATGCAAGACATGTACACCATATAGGATACAACACTTGAATAGACATGTCGCATATGACGTGACATTCATGACATGTAAACCCAAAAGGATACATGACATATGACTGATAAATGACACATGACTGATATATGACACATGACTGATATGTGACACATGAATGGTATATGAAACATGACTGATACATGACACATGACTGTTTCATGACACATGACTGAAATATAACACATGACTGATAATGACACACCATATGCATCATGACAAATTTAAGACACATACAAACAATATTTGACTCATAAGTCTATGATACTGGAAAGCCGTAATACACATACATAAACTTAACTCATAACATACTCATTGACAGATGACAGATATATCACATACATCTACATTATGACAAGAAAACACCCACACTGTATAAAACAAAGACGGCACATCAGATGTTGGCGTCCTGCCTTTGCCAAAAGCGAAGTAGACGTTGATGGAGATGGTGGTCCCGGCCAGGATGAAGAGACCCACGTAGGTGGGGTGGGTGAGGAACGACTGCTGGTAGGCGAAGAGGATGATGAGGAGGAGGGTGGTGAAGTAGATGAAACTGAGGCTGAGGTTGACGATACGGCCGATGGATTCGATGGGAGAACTCTTCTGCGACTGAAGGGGAAATAAAAATACAAACTTTTAATTGTGAGTAGGGAAACTTGGGAACAGCTCAAAAAGTCGAACAGGGAATACTGAATTTTTGAAACGAAATTTCCCAATATTGCCGAAAAAAGGAAAACTTTTCTAATAAAATAGAAAATTAAAACCTCAACGTTTTACAATATTATTTTTTTATGTCAATAAATTTAAGAATATATAAAACTATTTAGGCAAAACGTTATATTTCTAAAAACTGAGATATTCGTGCATCTTTTAGTTCCGCGGTTCAGAGTTCAAACTTTAACCAAATAACGTTGTAACCCTTGAAGCTCAACCGGAAGTGGTGACATTTTAAAATAGCCCGTACTGTAAATATATAGGCTATATATATTTGTCAGGGCCTGTAATCTATAACAATAAACCGCCGAAGTGTAAAATAAACACATACATGTGTTTGAATGTATAGACTGTTTTGTAATCCATCTAACAATATAACTATAGTGTACGGGCTGATCACTCCAAATATTTATATTCGGTTATTTCCTTTGAGTCTGAGCTTGTAGATCAATCAGTAATAAAAAAATTACTGCATTAAAAATCTATTCATGTTTAAAATGTAAGAGCGTGCGTAGAGAGTAAACAACTATGTTTTGTGAACTATTGATTTTATACTGCTAGCCTTATAATGGGAGGAGAGTCGTAAGGACAGGCCCCCTGGGTAAATACACTGGTTATTACTCTTTCAATAAAATAAAAAAAAATATTTAAAATAATTTGTTTGCAAGATTTGTTCTGCCTGTTTATAACAAATTTAGAATAAGTGTATGGTTTAAAATAATTTTTACATTATTTATTTTAATGCTAAAAAAAAAATTAAAAAAAATAATAGGGGCCTAATGGATGCAATCGATCAACTATGTTAAAAAAACCTAAATGTTTTAAATTGCAATGTGCAGTTATTTTTACAAGCATAAAAGAGGAAACGTTTTAAAAAAATAAATGTAATAAACGTAAAAAATAAAAATGACGTAATGCAAGAATCCTATCTGGCAACATCGCCACAACACTTACGTGGATAAAGGAAATGGCCAGGACCAACAAAACGAGTGAGATCAAAGACAACAAGGCCAGGTAGATGACGACCAGTGGGTACTTGTTGCTCACTGTGTACGTCTTGTACAGGCTCTCGAGGTCAAGGTCGTTGAAAGATCCCTAGAAACAAAACTACTAATTAGCCAAAAATAGAAATATGTTCTAAAATTTCTAAAATAAAAAAAAAAATTGTACGATTTTTAAAATGGTTTCAAAAACCTCAAATACACTCAAGAAAATATTCGCTACAGACGTTTGTAGGCCCATAAATACAATTTAATTTAAAAAAAAAAACTATTGTGGTTTTCAGTGGCGTAGCTAGGATTTTTAGGCCCTTGTGAAAAATTTATCAGGAGGAGAGGGTGACACCAAAACGAAAATTGTTATAGGACGGTGGGGTGACACCCTCAAACGCACAGGGTGACAACAATTTTCTTTTAAACAATATTTATATAAAACAAATATTAAAATTGCAATGAAAAAGTTTGAATTTTTCAAGGGAAAAGGGTCTTTATATTCATTGGGCCGCCTATGCCTTGCTTGTGCTTGCTTTACGGTAGATACGCCGCTGAGTGTTTTGTTAAACTATGGCCAAACAGACGTTCATACACGTCAATGTTGTGCTTTTTATTGTTTAAAGTTTGTTCACATATTCTGAAGATAAAGAAAACTAGAGTAGCGTTGTTTTTCTTTTTGCCCTTGTTAACTTCTACCCAGTTCATTAGTTCAGAATTAATTAGTAATTAATAAAATAGGATCCTTAAGGCCTAGTATCTAATCTAGCATATAAATAGCAGTGAGACGATTATTCTTATACAACGTATATATTAGACTATATAAATCACACGTTTGATATATGTATGCACACTATATATTAGCCTATACAGAAATTATGTTCAATATAATTAGGCTTACATAAGCTACACTATATAAACTATAAGCACGAGAAGAAGAATTTAAAGGGAGGGAATTAAAAATGTCGATCATCCATTTGTCTCCCCTTTTCTTGTTACAAGTTTCTTGTTACACACGGATGCGAAGGGTTAAAGTGATCTAAGATCCCATAATTGTAACTTGAGTTCAGGACCACATAGCTCTAGATGACTCAAGTCATGTCTTCCCTTTGTCTGTGAACTAGTCTAGTTTTTAGATACACACTCCACCACCCCTCTCCTAGCAGTATGAGCAGTATACCTATATATTAATTGGTTATTTTAAAACTATTTCACATAATGATGATAAAAATAAATAAGGAACCAGTATTTATGGTATTTTTAAAAATTTACTTTCGCGTGTACGAGGAAGTATGGTCGCCGTGAGAAACACCGAAATCGAGATTTTGACAAGTCTCGATTTCAATGTACTCCATCCTGAGTTGGAAACCCCCAGTGTCGCATCATGTCTATACGTGTGTTCCCTCTGTGTGTGTTAACACGATAACTTGGGCACAGTCTACGTTTAGGTAAACAAAATTTCATACACAAATATTATTTCGTACATTTAAATTGTTTTCAACTTTTGAGCGACAGTAGCGGTGCTGTAAGGGTACCTTAACATGACCCACTTAAAGCTATTTAGATAATGGTACCCGGACCCCCTTAAAGTCATTCAGAAAATGGGTACCTCACATTGACCTTCTTGAAGCCATTTAGAAAATGGTAGATTGACATTTTTAAAGCCATTTAGAAAATGATAAATTGGCCTTTTAAAACCATTTTGAAAATGGGTACCTACCTAGACCCCCTTAAAGGCAACAAGAGAATGGCTTCTTAAATTTGCTAAATCTGAAAATGGTTAACTCATCTTGACCTTCTTAAAGTCATTTATAAAATATTCACCTCACCTTGACCTTTCTTGAATTAAAGCCATTTAGAAAATGGGTACTTTATCTTGACCTTCTTAAAGAAAATGGGTACCTCACCGTGACCTACTTAAAACCATTTAGAAAATGGGTACCTCACCGTGACCTACTTGAAACCATTTAGAAAATGGGTACCTCACCATGACCTAGTTAAACCTTTCAGAAAATGGGTACCTCACAATGACCTAGTTAAACCTTTCAGAAAATGGGTACCTCACCTTGACCTAGTTAAACCTTTCAGAAAATGGATACCTCATCGTGACCTACTTGAAACCATTTAGAAAATGGGTACCTCACCATGACCTAGTTAAACCTTTCAGAAAATGGGTACCCCACCTTGACCTAGTTAAACCTTTCAGAAAATGGGTACCTCACCTTGACCTACTTAAAACCATTCAGAAAATGTGTATCTCACCTTGACCCGCTTAAGAGACAGCGTCTTGGAGTGTATGGGTTTCGGGGAGTCTCGTCCAGAGAATGCCAGGAGCCCAGACTCCATGTTGCCGTTGTGGAACAAGGTCACCTGACTGCTGATGCTGGACAGGCGGTGGTCGTGGGCGTCGTACAGGGGAGTCAGGGGCGGGGACTCCCCCAGACTCGAGTCCAGGCTCACGTTACCATGGTTTCTGTTTTTGGTGTTGTTGTTGTTGGCGCGCGTGTAGCTGACGCAGAGGTTGATGGCGGGCTTGTGGCGGGAGGACGGCTTCGTGGGTGGGGCGGCATTCAGACCGGGGTCCGGCCCGGGAGGGGTGTCGGGGTGCGGAGTCACGTGGCCGTCATCGAAGTGGATGCTGCGGCCGCCGTTGGCGAGGGAGAGTGGTATGGCGGCCATGGCACCATGCTACCCCGTCTGGAGGGCTGGTGGGTCGGATCTCTGTGTAGTCTCACAGCCTGATCTTGTCAGTCTATCCGACACGCTGGTCTAACTAGTCTATCCAATCTGACCAGTCTATCCAATAGAATAGATCACAGAGCCCATCCTCTTGATAGAGTGATTTGTCTATTCAGTCTATTCAATAGATCAGTTTGATGGTTCTACTTAATATAATAGCCTGTATTACGCGGTCTATTCCCCTCTTTTTCTGGGGTTGTGTGTTCTAGCTATTCAATAGACTTGTCCGATATGTTTATACAAAAGAATACACTGATAAGTCTATACTCTAATGTGTCTGTATCTGCATTTTAATTCAAATAACGTGATGATTCCATCCAATTAACTAGAGTGATTTTATTCACTAGACTAGAGTGATTCTATTAAATAGACTAGAGTGATGATTCTACTCAATAGACTAGAGTAATGATTCTATTAATAGACTATAGTGATTCTAACAATATACTAGACTGATTCTACCAATAGACTAGAGTGATGATTCTATCCAATAGGCTAGAGTAATGATTCTGTTTAATGGACTTGACTGATTCTACCAATATATTAGAGTGATTCTACCAATAGACTAGAGTGATGAATTGATCCAATAGAATAATCCTATTCGGCTTTTTTCTTATTTTAGATATTTGCCTGCCCAATATCCAATTATCCAATGAATCCGTCTATTAATCCACATACAGTTTGGATAACTGTGAGGAGATAACTCCTGTTGATCCACATATAGATTCGATAATTGCGTGAAGATAACTCCTGCTTTTACTGACGTTTGAAGTAGTATTAGATTCTCATTGCTAACATTTTCTTCATATGTTTTGATGAATACGATACATTTGTTGATTACACCTGTTCTATTTTTTTATTCAGCTTATCATTTGATCTGAAAATTTAAAAAAAAAAAAAACTTTATTAAAAAATTATAAAAATATGATATAATTTTAAATTTAAATTGAATAAAACGTGTGGAGTGTATGCACATTTCTGGGAGCTCAACAAAAGTTTTTTTTTTCAAATTTGATAAGACACCGAAAAAAAAACATTTCAAATATGTATAACCACGAGTTAATTGATAGAATATGTTTATATATATATATATATATATATATATATATATATATATATATATATATATATATATATATATATATATATATATATATATAAATAGATCACAATCCAGATGTTTAATACACTAAAATAATATACACTTACAATTACACAACCAACAACAGTAGGCCTGTATTATATATATATATATATATATATATATATATATATATATATATATATATATATATATATATATATATATATATATATATATATATATATATATATATATATATATATATATATATATATATATATATATCAAGCACCTGCACAACATACACAATAATTTATCAAACTTCACATTTATAATATGTACATAGTACCACAATCATGCTATGACGAAATAATTCCAATCCACTTCTGAAGTTAACACAGCTATGTGGTTATAAAAAAATCCCAAATAATAGAATAACATAATTACATATAAAACAAGCAGCGTCAGTCCATGTAAGGTGACACCACGTTTACACTTGCGACATGTATACTATACATGTCGCAAGTGTAAACGCCTTGTGAGAACTGCACCCTTAGAAATACTAAACACATCGCGATTATCATGATAAACATTTTGTTTACTGAACATGAACAAATATAGTTTTGTAGATGTTTACAAAATGTTTATACAATATAAACAATTCCACGTTTACCACAGCAAACTAATTGATTTTTTTAAAAAAAATAAGGTAATCTAAATCTAGAATTATAATAACTAAATTTGTTTAAAAACCTTAATATACATTTTGAAGACATCTTGTAATTGAAAAAAAATAACTAGCAAACCTAAACAAAATTAGTTAGTTTCGCAAAGAAGAAAGCACAAACACTTGAGTTTCGTTCGTGTTTATCTTCAAGAATTCAGACAACGTGTTTATTTAATTTGGCAATCATCCCGTCTATTTTAATCAACGAATGCATGCTTGATTCCTCATTTGTTAAGCTCCGGTTAGCCTATCAGTTGTCATCAATGTTTTAAATACCAGATCCGGTATGGAGAATAACAGCGAGTGAATGTAACACTAACAACACATCTCTTTAATCAGCCTGCGCGGACTCGACGCATTCCAACACAGTTCTGCGCAAGTCTCTTCTGTGTAGGTGTAACTCAGTCAATCAGAGGCGGTGAGTTGATGGGGGAGGGCAAGTGGTACTCAACTACAAACCATCGCTTATGTTTTACGTAAGGTCATCATCGTAGTCGGAATATTACATGATGTTAGGTCACACGTAGGCCTAGTCGTGTAATTATCGCTGATAGCTCGTGTTGTGTTACGTAATGGCCGGTCGTTTGTTAGGTTATGGTCGTTGTTAGGTCATGGCCGGTCGTTTGTTAGGTCATGGCCGGTCGTTGTTAGGTCATGGTCGGTCGTTGTTAGGTCATGGTCGGTCGTTTGTTAGGTCATGGTCGGTCGTTGTTAGGTCATGGTAGGTCGTTTGTTAGGTCATGCACGGTTGTCATTAGGTCATGGTAGGTCGTTGTTAGGTCATGGCCGGTTGTTTGAGTATTTTAGGGGGGGGGAGGTGTTAGAAAATTGTACTAGCGATTTTTTAATTTTTTATTTTACGTCTTAAGAATTTACGGGCAGGGTTTCTGACATTTCAGATGTCTTTTTGTTGAAGGGGGAAGGTTGGGCGTGGGGGGTGGGGGGGGGGGGGGGGGGGGGGTCTAGTGACAAAATGTGACCGAGACGGGAAAAAGGAGTTGAGTGCTGGATGCCAAAAGGAACTAATAAAATTCAGGCTAAAAAAAGATTTATGTATTATCCAAACTAGTAAAATATAGAAACAAAATTATTTTGGTATTCTAGCTTAATTACTTTCTAAAATGTAGAACTATGGTTTTGATATTGTAATTATTTTCCGAAATAAAGAGAGTATTTTTGTAACCAGCAATAGCAAATTACCTAAATGTTTAACCAATTAGTTTATTCCAAATGACAGCGCGAGATTCACGCGATAAAAAACGATAGGTAAAAAAAAAACACACAAAAGATCGGTTACTCTAAAAAAATCAACAGGGATAATTTGTAGAGAGTTTAATGTGAGGTGGGTGGGCAGGATCAATCAATTTACACCACATTAGTATCACGTGCTGCAATAATTAATTAATCAATAACTAATGACCTCGTCAATTACATCGGTAACACAACACGTAATCAGCCCCACAGTGACAACAGTTCATCTTAATTCTGGCTACACACGTTTTGATGACGCCATCGCGTATAATCGGATTCCATTCGCGGCATCCTTTGTTTGTGCTGACGGCGTTAAAAGGTGGGAGGCTGGCCGGCGACCCGCAGCAATTAGCACGCCGGGAATGTAATTAATCTCATTAAGACTTCGCAGCTCATGCATAGAACATGGCGATGGAACAGGGCATCCGGTGTATGTGTTTGTATGTGTGTGTGTTGGGAGGGGGGGGGGGGAATCAATTTTAAATTATCTCAGTTAATTTTTTCTATTTATACGCACATTTAGATTTGACGTGTAATTATAGGTGATTTAAAAAAAAAAATATATGATTATTACACGCTCTAGTTTATGATAATGTAGCTTTAAAAAAAAAAACCTAACGAATCGTCGATTTTGTTGGAATTATAAATCAGCCCTTCTTAATAAACGCCATATTGAACTCGAGATATTCAAGTTATTTATGTTACGATCCACCCTCCCCCCCCCATGCACACGTCGTCCAAAAACAACCTTAGGGGCGTTTTCAGCTTGAGCGGCGCCTCAAGCTATAAAATAGTTTTGTGACCAAGCTATAAAATAGTTTTGTGACCACTGCGGATATTGCTTCGCTGTGAGTATAACATCTGGTTAGAAACTGAAATGTAATGTTAGTCTAAATGAATGAATGTGGGAGCTCCGATATCGCGGTGGCCCTTGTCGACAGCCTAGTCAGCCCCACAGCTGATCCGCCACTGTTTTAAATTTGTTTTTAGATTTTTTATGTTTGATATTCAAATAACGCAGTAAGTCCTTGTAGGTTATATCCTCATTTTTTCCCTTTCATGGCCAAGACAAATAGAGCAGAAGAGGTAGAGTTCATCTCTTTCAATGAGATCGGAATACAAAGACATAATGTTGTCAGCACTATGCCTTTGTTTCCCCTAACAGGAGTTAGGTACCTATCAAAGCTGGGTGGACTCAGGGAAATTCTAATGACCTGAACAAGGATTCGAACTCAAGTCTACCTGGTTAGCAGTCTAGCTCTCTACCGCTAGGCCACCCCAGATTTACTGATGTCACAAAAGTTTCGTCTCTTCTTGGGTCTCCGCCTAATCACAAAACTGGCAAATTTTTTTTTTTCCATCCCGTCAGGAAGTTTATCCTTGACCTGTTGCTATTTTTAGCACCTTTTTTTTTTGAAATATGACTCACACATTTTGTCCAACGTCGCTTGCGATCGTATGAGTGTGTATGTGTGTGTGTGTGCTGGTGTTTGAGTGTGTTTGTGGGTTCGTGCGTGCGTGTGTGTGTCAGTGAGCACTAGCTAACATCCCGCTGCAACGGATTCTTATGAGCCACAAGTCTTCAAGTAGTTTTCCGTCAACACTAAAGTAACAAAACACATCTTGAGATGAGAGTAGCCTCCCCCTACCCCTGTCAGCTGTTTTGCTTTAGCCAATAGCTTTTCGAGTCTATGGCATCAATACAAAAGTGTCTGAACGACATATTTTTTCATCGAGTTCTAAACTAGCTTCCAAAACAGAAAACATTAATACAGATTTATCTTACAACAATTAAAATAAAAGTTAGATTTTAACATTAACTGGAGTTTAAGTGACAACATTTTTCTAAATGAATAGAAAATTGCTAACTATTTTATTCATTAAAGAAAATAAAATTGGGACGGCGTGGTAGAGAGCTATACTGCTAACCCGAAAGTCTCGAGTTCGAATCCGGGTACAAGTCAGTAGAACGCCCCTGAATCCACCAAGCTGTGATGGGTACCTAACTCAAGTTAGGGAGCAAAAGCCGGATGGGAATAGTGCCGACCACACTTTCCCTTCATTTGCCGAGGTCTCTAGTGAAGTAGATAAATTCTATTTCATCTCCCCCCCCCCCTCCCCCCTGCCTTGGGCTCGAACGGAAAAAGAAAAAAAAAACGCAATTATTTCAAACTTAAAAACGATAATCACTTACAATTACGTAACGTCTTTGGCATATTTAATATAGTTTACGTATGATCAATGGTGGGTTGAATTTTGATGTTTCCATCAGTGTTTCTTCCAGACTTTTTTCTCCGGGGGGGGGGGGGGGGGGGGCGGACACTGATAAAAGCTTATACTTTCCATATAAATTCCATTTTGTTCAGGGGGGGGGGGGAGTAGCCCATCGAAGAGATGCCTGGTAGAAACACTGGTTTCCATGCAATTTATTTCCAGGTAACCACTTCTTCAGACTCGAACCCAACCCTCTACGGTATTTATGACGTCTGTGTTTATACACAATGGCCGCCTTCTCCACCAGGTAAGACTACGATTCCGTTGTTTACATTCGGGTTGGTAGAAAGAAATTCTCTCGCTGAAATAGTTGTGAGCGAAATTTTAGACTGCTAGACGCTACAGTTACACTGTTTTGTAATGACTTCAAACAAAATGTCTTTTGTGAGCATGTTAGACGGACTAGGAATTGTTCGTTAAAATATATTTTAAAAAAAATTCGTTTAAATGCCTGTGTTAGGACAAGATCTATGGAACAATTAATCTAGAATATTCGATGAACACGTGGCCTCGTCTGCCCGGTATTTGCAAAAGTTCTATTTCCGTCTGGGTCAGCACGTGGTGTAGCAGAAATTTAAAAGCCGTTAAACGACGGGACCGTGCATTCAGACAGCGCCATTAAAAGCATTAGCGAAATTAAATGGCTTCTTGCACTTTTTATGTGTGGTGTAATCTGATTGGTTGATGCTTTGGATAACGTCCAATCACGTTTCTTAATGCATATTTAATTAAAGAAATTTTACTTGTTTAAATTAAAAAAAAACAATTTCCTCGTATTTGATGGAAATTGTAATTCCGGTACACATTCTGATATACAAGCCCTATAAAAATACTTGTGTTTACATTTTCGTTTAATTAATTGATGCAATGTTGCTTGCTATGACACGACAGATTAAATAGAATAACTTGATTGAGCTATTAAAAAATCACACAGTAATGATTATAACCCTC